TTTCTCCCACAAATATCTTCGCGGGGACTCACCCCGCGAGTACTTCAAAACAGTTCTTACGATGGAGCATGTTCTTTTACACTGTAGAAAGATAAGAGATAGCCACCGAAGACATCACCCTGACAATCACCTTGCCAGCGGAGATTATTTGAAATGACGTAACTTCTCTGCAAGCTTTTTACGAGAGACTAAAAACTACAGCCTTATCTGTGTGAAGAGGATAATGAGGATTGATTATTTCGCTTTGTTGGAGATTTAGGATTTATCTTGCTCTTTTCTGCCATACCTTTTGGACATGTTCCTTTTAGTTTTTATTACTTACCATTAAAACATTTTTTAGCCTGGCACTGCCAGAGTGCGTACTGGTCTTAAATTAATTTGACACGTGCGTCTACGACCTGAGCTTTTGAAGCGCCTTTAAACCTTGATAATCAATATATCGAAAATGGGTTGCGAAGTTTTAAATATTATATACAAGACTTAATAATATATTAATTACAGAACTTGTAATATTGTATACAAGACTTAATATTTTTAAGAAAATATGAATAATACATAGAAAATTCTTAAAGATATTTAAATTACACAACTAAGCCATGAAGTTACTATGGATGCATCCCGAGCATACTCATATGACCAAAACATTTTTTTCTGATCACAATACAAGAGGGTTAAAGAACTTAGTCCTCACGGTTTTGCACGAATTAAAATACTAACAGAAGTTCCAATTTCACCGTAAAAACTGTCTGTGATGTACGCGGAGCACATGCTCGTGTTAATATACACGCGTTTATACTAAACAATCACAACATTATTTTTAATAATGATTGGAGACCAATTCTGAAAGTTCCTAGATTTACTAAGGCCGATAATGTATTGGTTTTGTTTTTAGCTTAGTCGACTAGTATAGTTAATTTAATATTATACAGTCCATAACATATTTAAGGGTAAGTTGTAAGATGAATAAAGTCTAGGTAGAAATTATTTAAAAGTACTTTATTTTAGGAGATTGCTTCTCCGTGATAAAATTAGAGACCATCCACTCCATGGTGTTACTTTCTTACCGCCGACACCTGTAAATAGAACGAAGCAAGACCCGTGAAACTCTTAATTTAACTAATAGTATACTGCAATGACTGCTAATGAATAGGTTTTAAAAACTACTTACTGAATTATTTGTTCCCTTCTGGCCCCCAGTATTCTCATATTTTGTCATCCTCCCCATTCTTTTGAGGGCGTTTTTAATTGTATTAAACATTGTAATCATAATTGTTTTCAAAAATGTATTGATGTTGTGTGACACCCAACCGCAAATAATTCAAGAGGGCATCTTCTGGACTGCTAGGCGCACGTCACATTAGAAAATTAGAAATCGTTGTATTATTTGACCAAAGCGCCTTTCTAGAATCACTTACTCCTTTGAAAGTATCTTGTTAACGTTTCTTTGTGTTGATGGAGCTCTGTTAGGCGTCAAAAGAAGGTTCAATGCAGTAATGTGCTTCAAGGAGTGGAAGAACTTGTGTATTATTCATGACTTCAAATTTTTTCCAAATTCGGGAGTCGTCAGGTGCACGAAGTAAGGGCACATCCATGCTGCTAAATATCTCAGTACATAACTTGAACATTCAGACTGCAAAATCCCTTTCTATTAATGTATTGATCCCCGTGAGTTGATGGTTTTTAATAGTGTGGCTGCATTCTATTTCCTCTACAGGAAAAGTATATTTGCTGTACCACTAGAAATTTCCACTCAGGAAAACTAATCCAATTGGATACCATTGGTAAGTGTCCTTGGACACACTAACAATTTTTGAGATTGTGGTATTTCACCCACACAACCTTGAAAGCGGCGGTCACCTCGTAAAAGGACTTATTTTTTGTTTCATGTGTAAGAGCACCACCTCTTAACTTGTCTCCATCCAAAACTAGCCGGCTGATATAGATTTTTCCGAAAGTATGGAACTAAATTTTTCCTCGCTGCATTTGATTTTTCGTTTCAAAACATTAACATTCATGAACTTCGGCGTATCAATTGTCTGGTAAATGAGCAAACTGGGACATGCAAGGAAACTACTACAAATTTGAGGTACCTGGAGATCAGGCTGGTAATTAGAAAATGCTCACGAAGGGAATAAATTCTGTTTTATTCCTGTAGTTGTGAGCAGATACGCTTGTGAGCGTCGGAATGTGGTTTTCCAAAGCTCACGTTTGGAAATATACCAATTTCGTGAGTGTTCTCAGACCTTATATTCATATGCTCAGTTGCAAATGCTTAGTAAACGCGAGTAAATAACATACGCTCAATTTTTATTTATATCACCCATTGACCTCCCATTTCACCATAATCGTTCCTGCCACAATTTCCATTCCTGGATCTACTGGCAGACTTGTATGTCACCCAATACAGTGGTGGAACTGAGATTGTGCGAATGCAGTCAGTGCTCGGGAGCACTTGCGAACATCCGAACCATTATCCAAACATCGTAGAACATTAAATGTCACGATGCCGAGCGAGAAACATTTTGCGTGAAAGGAAATCCGCTTCCTGGAGAGCCTACATGTCTTCGCTTGAGTGTTACTCCCCTGTATGTTGACGGGATGAAAATACGAAAAATTAAAGAAACTCTCCTTTCATCTGCAGTGCCTGTGCTTTTAGTGAATGGGCAGCTCCAAACTACTAGATATTATTTCCTTAGTGTTTGGGATGTTTATGACTTCCCACTATATTTTTGGCATGGTATCCTTGTACCAGATTCCAGTGGAAATATTGCGACACGTTTAACTTCATAATGACATATGTTTAATTATCGCGTTTATGTTTAAACTGAGGAGCTTGCCTCCCACTGTGAGGTGGTAATCTTGCTGCATCCCATCGTTTCTTCCTCCCGAAAGAAACAGAATATTGCCGTTGTTTCAGGTGATGTGAAAAAAAGCTACAACGCCGCTTTTTCTATAAACGAGATTACCTCCGCCATATTACAACCAAAAAAAACGCTTGGTCCAGACCCGATACATAACGCGGGGTTTAAACATGTGTCATAATGTTAAAAGTGTCCCAATAGTTCCACTGGAATCTGCTACGAGGATTCCATGGTAAAATATAGCGGGAAGTCACAAACATCCCGAACACTAAGGAAGGAAAGGACAGGTCAGTCACATTACTCCCCCAAACTCATTAATTAGCTGTGTCAATTAACTTTTCCGTCATGTGAGATAGACCATAGTCTCGTCTGGCTTGGTTTTCTTTTCATTTAGTAGCTACTAGTCTTCGGCGTAGAAACAGCATGACATTCTGCATGGAGGCATTAGATTCTGCATACGTGTGAGGTTTTAGGGGGGCGGATCTCCCCCTGCTCCTGAAAAGCTATCTATTCGATCTTTTCATGGGCACCTTCTGTGGGCGATTTTTCTTTATTCTATTAATTTCAAACTCGTTGAAAGGTAGTTTTAGCTTATCCCAGTAGATTCCATAAATTAAGCGAGGCTACGGGTTTAAATCGTTTCATGAAAAAGTGTTGCGTGTACTTCTGTTGAACTTCTCTTATGGGATCAAGTATGCGAGATTCTTGAGACTAGCCTTCGACAGAGACGTGATGCAACCATATCCGTAGTCACCGAATGCTCTGAAGCCGTCACTGCCTAAGGGCTACTTCTCACGGCACCACTCAACAGCCCTTCCGAGTGGTGCGTCTGCTGGAAAAGCATTTGTTTGAAATAAATGTATTCACACTGTGCGAAATCCTGCCACCAGCAGTGCAAGCGTCACTGTCAACAGAACGAGTTCCAAATGGCATCCTTGACACTTGGACGCTCGACTGAACCTGTTTTAAACCGGCTGACTGCCTTGCAGCCGCCGACACTCCTGACACTGAGAGTCCCCGAATCCTCCCTCAGTGGCGCTCGACGGTGCCTGTGTTATGTAGGTCTCGGTGGCGTTACAGAGAGGCCCAGTGTAAAGGCGTAAACCTCCCGGTATTAAGTTTTCAGTTGCTGATGGAGTCCACCTCCCCCTCCCCCTTGCGTTGCGCTTCCGCAACCCTATTCTTCCGTGGAAAGTTTTATCTCGCAGAGCATGGGCGGCGGTGTGTAGACGCACGTTGTCATGGAAGAAAATGGTATTTCGGCAATCCACCGTTCGGATACTCAGAATGTGACTAACATTATGGTTTGCCGCGTCGATTGTCGCTCATAGATAATTCGGAATCAGGACATGGACTTGGCTCAATTTTGGGGACACTGGTGAATGATGTTGGTTGTTTTGCTCTTTTTCTCATCTACATTCCCGTTTGACTTTTGAATGGTTCAATACCTTGTAATAACAGCAGTAACGTGCACACACATTGTGCTGAGTGTCTTCTAAGGTTTTCAGATTTTTGGTACTCTAACAGTTGTTTTTGCCGCCCTCCGGCGGGTGTACCTATCTGCGGCTCTTGTGAGATCGCGTCTGGAGATGCTTAGCATCGTACCCTTGAATCCGAGACTGACGAATCGGGGTGGGTATAGTTTCAGGTTTACTTGGCTTGGGAAATGTAACGTGACTTACCAAGCATTTAAATACTATGGAGCGGGGTACAAGCACATCTTATTCACCACAACAGCGTGTCCGCTAAATGCACGACGTGCGCTGATATTACGTGGATGCAAGTGTCAGGTTCCCTATGGAGATGCCGCCCCGTTAAACTTTTCATAAACAAAGTAAACGATGTCACCCTTAGGCTGGTAAGAGCACAGAGTTGTACTGTGGACGTACGGACGATTAGAACTACCATATTCGTAGTATTGCACGCGAGAAAAGCATAGAAAAAATGGAATCTCCACTTACATTTTTTAGCATATATTTCAAAAATATGGTGTGGATTTCCTGACCGACTGCACCTTCGTGTGATAAACATTGAGATAAATGTCAATAAAAACTATTAAGGGAAAGTTAAATTGCTTTAGTTGGTAATAAACTCTGAGCTTAAGTGTCATTAGTAAAAATGTGCATTTTTATGTTGCAGGCATCCTACATCATGTGCATCAATGGCTGAAATAATGTCCGTCCTTTTTTTCAACACAATGCGGTATAAGGTGTCGTCTCCCCGTGATGCTTCCAGTGATCGCTTTATTTTGTCAAAAGGCCATGCTGCTCCAATCTTGTATGCAGGTACGTTGAAATGAACGAATGGTGCAAATTATGCATTTCTGTACGTTATACCCATCGAGGTGGCTGTGCCCATCACTGCAAATCGTGCTTTCAGAACTCCCACGTGTCCTTTTTCAATCTTACATTCTCTTGTTCTCAGTTTTCTGTCGCGTTGAGTGTTTTATCACAGTCTGTTCTTCACTACTAGCCGCTGGTAGATCCGGAGCTAACACACTCCTGAGCAATCTCCTCCAGGAGACTAGGGGTTGTTATGGTGTCCACCTGCGAGTGTGCGGCGGGTTACAATGTTTTTGTTCCAAATTGAACATTCCAAAAGGGACACTCCTTTGTGAGTCTCTAAATGAGTGGGAACTGTAATTCTCGATATGAATTTGTCCCTTCCCCCACCCTCCTCCCGAAAGAAGACACTATGAAAGTCGAGTAGAAACGTCGATCTGTAATTTTTATATACTCAGATAAACCGACCAAGCACAAATTTCTTGACCATGGAGTGCATGCACCAGGATCAAATTTATAAGAATATCAGCTCACTGCGTGAGGCTGTCCATTAATTGTTTTGGCTACCTTGGGTCGGGTTCATCAGAAGAATGGAATCTTTCGAAGGGCGAAAACAACGGTGGCAAGGTTATGCTTGAGGCAAGAAAAGAATTCCCCTGGCAGGTGCCCGGCGAAATAAATCCCTCTCTCAATTTCCCGTCCTGAAAGGTCTCGCGTTCTCCCAACCAGAAAGCTCGGAAATAGTTAATTGAGACCGAGGCGAATCTGGCGGAGAAAGTGAGAAACAGACGGGATTAAGGGACCCACTGCGCGCGCGTGCTCAAAGAGCAGCCCGTAGACCCGCGTCGGGGTTAGACTTCAAAGGCAGCCCGATTTGAATGCATGGGTGCGGAACAACTGCCAATGGCCGTCCCTGCCAAATAACCCCTACGATAAATATGACGACTTGACAATTTCGACGTAATCTATTCCGGAAATTGACGTTGGCGGGCGACCGTTACTCCGAGGGTCATCTACCACACAGTCAATCGCATTAGTTACCCGACCACGATAGTACCATTCAAATGGAATTCCCCAGCGTTTGTGATACGTTTATCAATTTGTTCCAATGTCAACTTTTTTAGTGCATCGTATTTAATGTATTCACTTACTAACAACAATCACAATTAGGTAACAGGACACTGTCGTCATAGTTGACGCAATCAAAGTTGTGCCAAAAACGTATGTTACGGTAAAATCCTCATTTGCGATATAAAGAATCGATTAAGTTACAGCAATTATACATTATGGAATATGAGACTTCTATAATTGTACATGTATATGTAAAATGTACCAAGATGCTATGTGGAAAGACGAACCAATTACGGATGCAGTCGAAGAATCAGTATTAGCATGTTTAACCGACCCTCCCCCTCCTATGCCGGACACCTAGACATCGAGGCGCCAAGCTCTCGCATGGAGGGGCGGAAACGTCCCAGGGTTGACCCACTAACCTGTCGTCAGTCAGTTTTTCCCGGCTGCTCGGAAACGATACGAGGAAGGATGCATGCGTAACCATGTTTGGGCATGCATAACACAGAAGCGCTTAGAAAACCTCTAACAATTCAGGTTTAATACTCAATACTAGTCAGGGAATTCTGTTTACGTGAAATGGTGCATTAATCTAACTAAATGCTACAACTTATCGGGCGTTTACGCCTGGCGACGGTCAGGCTCGGCGTTCGGCATGGTAGCGGCGGCGCCCGGAACCTCGCGGCAGGCGGGGTGTTCCCTCCCCGGTCGGCGTCCACGGGCCTCCCACTCGGTATGCTCGGGCCTCCCGGCGATGGCGCTTGCCCGCACCTCGCGAAGCTTTTCGGCGGCGATGTCTATGGCTGCGCGCGTGCCCGTTCCCGGAGCGGCTCGGCAGCGGCGACGGTGGAGCTTGGGCGCGTAGCCGCCGTAAGTTGCTGTCCAGTTGTGACCATCTTGAATCTAGCTATCGGTATTGGAGCAGCGGTGCGAGTTCACCGGGCCTATAGCGCCTCGAGTCGGTGAGGACCTCTAGCCCCGGCAGCGGTGGAGGCCACGGCCCTCAATGGCCGCGGTCAAGCTCGCCGCTCTCCCGATAAGTTGTCTCGGATGCGTGGTGTCTCTCCCTCTTCCTTCAAGCTCTCTCGGATGCACCGTGACCGATCCAACACTCCTTCAAGCAATTAAAAATACTATGTCCAATTTCGACGTACGCTGCCGTCGCATTACACGTATAATGATTCGGAGTAAAAAAATCGCGAATGTGCATTTATTTTGACTTTACATGCGGAATGCGCAACAAGCTAAAGCATATCAACGGGCATCAAATAGAGATGTTTGCATATTTTGCAAACTCAAAAGTAATGGTTTTCCATGGCATGTATTCTGAACACAAACGTACCACAATGGTAGTTTTGCATTTGTTTATGCATGTTTACTCCCCGCACCAAGAAATGCATTGACAATTTAAATTGGAGGTTAGGTAGTTTCTCTCCATATGATGGTCAGGAATTCTCTATATCGAGATTTCTTAGAGCGGAGCAATTCTTTCGAATCGAGTAAGCGCGTCCAATTGCTTTCAAATTTCCGGGTCTTCATTTCCTGCCTTGATCCATGTACATGGTCTTCCACTGTGTCCCCGTCGATGTGTGACAATCCATGTCCTGACAGGAATGGGAGGGCTCTCAAGTATCCCTTTCTTTCACCAGTCATCTATGTTTTCCCCAATCGTTGATTCTCGTTCTTTTATATAACACCTTGTCTCTTCATCCACTTCTATTTCACTGGCCACCCATGGGTTTGCCGTGCAAGGCGACCCGTGTCGGAAGGAATGGATGGGCTTGGCTGTTGAGGATTGTTTCCCAACTGCTCCTCCGTGTGGTACGTTGCAGCTTTGCACATAGGGATACGTAATTAACGTATTTTGGGGGAACATTCTCCGTTGGCCTCCATACACTTAGGTCCGGCCTCTTCAGAACGAGATATCTGGAGCTAACCTACTCTCAACGGCTCGAACAGGTTCTTTTACTGAACACCAGGGTGAGGGGGGTGCATGGCGGGTCAGCACTCATCCCCCCACTGCCTCAGTGACAACCCTGGGGCTCCAATGGGGTGTCGCTTGTTGGGCTCCGTTGTTGGTGGGGACGACGGGGATGAATCTGATATACTTTTCATTGATACCAAACCTTTCCCACGCTCTCTTCCGTGAGGAAGAGATTAGTTGGTTAAACTATCGATTTAGATTGACCAACAAAACCCCGTTTCCTCATGGCCTGTAGTGAGGAGTGAAGACCACGAAAAGTGTCAGTGACATTACTGGCCAGAGAAATTGAAGTTCTGCAAGTTTGTGATTGCCTTCCGCCAGAGGAATGGAACAATTATCTTCGAATCCCGTATTGACGAGCAGATAAAAAAAACTGACTAAAAAAATACCCCGCCCCCAGGTGTACGTGCTCTCACCCCCCCCCCGGACCTTAAACCTGCAAGGGTGCGGTGAACCGCGAAGACCTGTCATCAGAAATCATTATTTCTGACTGAAGGTTTGACTGATCTTCGATATAGACAAAGCTTACAACACCACCTGAAGGTACGGCATTCTTCGCTATTTACCTTCTTGTGGTCTCAGGGGCGCCTCCCACTCTTCAGTAGCCTTTCTTTCGTCTTTAACCTTCCGCGTCCGACTTGGAGACAGGTTATCCCCTCGTCACTAGTTCGAAACCGGGGTCCCGCAGGTGTCAAATCTGAGTGTCACTCTCTATGCTATTGCTGTCAATAGTGTACCATCTACAATTCGAGAGCCTGTGGAAGCATCGCTCTTCGTTGACATTGTCATTTTAGCTTCTCCGAGGGGTGTGTCAGGCAGGCGCAACCACTGTACCACAACCACATCCGGTTAAGTGGAATAAAATGTATTACTGTTGCCAATTATTAAACACATTGTTAAAAACTGCATAGTTATGCAACCTCGCACGACATTCTAGTATTGTATTGGTGTACTAATGGGCACTAACTAATAAACCTAATCAACAATTAAATTCACATTCTTTGCTAATTACTCAAAATAGAAATTTATAACTATTGCCACTTATTAACTGAATATTAAAAATCATAATTACCAAACCATGCCAGATGTAACCTAGAATTTAAATATTTTATGTTGGCAACGTGGTAGATTTAATTCTAATAAATAAAAAAATCATACAAAATGGGGTGCCGAAAATCGCGATGTGCTACGTTACTACTTTATTGGATGTACTTATCTTGGATACTAATCCTGCAAACTTTGTATTTTTATGCAATACAAATCTGTACGTTGATTTTACAGTTCGCAAAGAAATAATTAATTGTAATGGTTAGCAGTTATGCTATCCCGATTTCTCTCACGACACTGCTTCCGTGGACTGCCCGCTGAAGATGGGCAGAGAAAGAGAGAGCGAGAACAGGAAGTGCTTGCCGCTGGCTCTTTCGTTGACGCGTCCCGGCTCCTCTGATCGTCGTCCACGTCATTACCCTCGCGGGCACCTCCCGCTTCCCGTTTTCGAGCGCGGCAGCAAGTTCGTCCCTTCTCACAGCCCCTTCATCTGCTCCCTCAATCGTCCATTCCTCGCCAATTGAGCGCATTTACCTCCTTGCCTGATTTGCGTTTGTTGCCGAAGACACCATAGCATTAGTGCGTAATATTTTGCTTTCTCATCTTCCGTAAAAAAAATTTAAATGTTGGACCGGAAAGAGGCGAAACTTATTGTCGGACACATGTTACGAAAATGTCACGTTACTTAAGCACATCCTGCAGTTTCTGAACGGTTGAAGTTATTGCAATGCAGTTTTCACGGATGTGAACGAGGGGATTAGGGCTAATACTGTATTCATTTCTATTTTATCATTTGTATTTTACGAGATATTCAGGTAACGTTTATTTTTTTAATGAAACTAAACATGTCTTAGTTTAAGTAAAGAGTAAAAATACGAATCTAATGATAAACATATTGTTGTATGTTAATCACTTTTTTAGTAATGTTTGTTCATTTATTTATTTTTGCTACTTGTTAGACGAGTATTTTGAATGTAACAATCTGCCACCGAAGGTCGCATAACGCGCTAGGGCAAGGGAACCTGATCGAAGTATTTGAAGATACGAAACGTATTCCAAATTTCCACAAAACTGATGCAAGTTTTTCCTATCCCCTGCTTTTCATCCTTTATTTTTAGATCTTTGTCTTAAGTAAATAAAACACGTTCCCAAAACTTGTCATCCCTTAACTGAGATCAAATCCACAAAACGCCATGCACCTTTCAAAATCTTTACATCTCATGTCTTCATGAAGGCAAACGTGATAAGAATGAAATTTGTGGTGATGTAGAATACGAACCACTCTGGCAGTTAATAAATCTTTCCAAAACCGCCTGCGAAAGTGTTTAGCTGTAGATGATGGGTATTTCGAACATACGCTCAAATAAATTTGAGTGGTAATATTGTGTTTACCTGTATTTACATTTTTAACAGATTTTTTATTTCGTGATTATTATCTTGCTGAATTTTTCTGCCCCTAAGTGATTATTTTGTGCTCAATAACATTGAAATTGTTTTCTCAAATAGCGCAATATCCTTTGCACAATCTTAATTATTTATTCCATTTCTTTTGTTTCAAGATCCCATCTTGTATGACACCCCATTAAATGGAGTTGAAGTAACAATGTTGAGTACGGTGCACCGTTCCCCCCGATGTTTACTTTATTCTGTATAGTAAATGAGAGGGATAGCTATTTTCGAGCTGAAGAAAATGTATATACTTCCCGCCCCTTTTTTTAAGTAAATATGAAAATTATGTTACAGTTGTACATTCTAAAGAATGACGTTTCCTTTCAGCTTGGGCAGAAGCAGGCCTTTTTCCTTCTACAGACCTACTTTCTCTCCGAAAGATTGACAGTGATCTCGAGGGCCATCCCACACCACGTCTAAATTTCATAGATGTCGGCACTGGCTCTCTTGGACAGGGTCTGTCAGTGGCTTGTGGAATGGCTTATGTAGGAAAGAACTACGATGCTGCATCGTACAGGTGAAGTATTGTAAAAGTATTTTTTATAGCTAAACCCGTGCGATTAGAGATTTTTTTAAACATCTGAATTTTCGAAAAATGCTGTAGTAAAATTTTTTTCGGAGTCTTGCTATAGCAAGTTTAATATTTTATACTTACTGAAATTTCTTCAGACATCTTCAAATATGATCGTGCGCGAGTAGCTTGCGTAATTTTTGGTGAAGTATAGCCATTTTAAACTACTATTTTCTCAAACTTTTCCAATTTTTTTCTAATTTCCCTTCGGTAGAGTATTAGACGGTTAAAAATGGCGCAGGTCTTATTTTCGACGCACTCTAAATTTTGGAAAATGGCTCAAATTTACCCTGTCAAAATTTCAATATTTATTATAGATGTTTTTTTAACAAGATTAAGAAAAAAATATTTTTAAGAAGTACATTGTACATGTATTTTTTCATAAAGCTGATAGTTTAACGTAATTTTTACTTGAAGTAAATGCAATAAAGTTTTTCACGAACATTCCAAATTTGTTTGCATATTTTCCCTCGGATAGAGTAAAGGACACTTAAAAATGACCGTGTTCCCAAACTATTTTCAAATTGCCAACAAAAAATTGGCATTACAACACATTTGGTAGTAGACTTTTTCATGAAATCTCTTTAAAAGTAGATCTTGAAATGTAATTAAAAACCTCTGAAGTTTTGATTTTAAATTCCACTATTAATTTTTTTTCTTGAAAAGTCTGGAACTTGGAGTTAAGTGGTGAGATTACAGTTATAGGGTGAACGTGAATGGTATGCTAACTTTAAAATCCTGAGTAGGAATGCCAACGCGGAGAATACATTTTTGCTGGTCCGGAACATTTGCAGGTTCGTGTTATTGCCAAGGAATGACTGGACAGGATGATAGGAAAGGTCAAACAGGAAGGGTGGAAAAGACCATGCCGCATCACAAGGTACAAAACGATCATGTCCTGGAGTCGATCCTGCGGCTCTCGTACCGCGTACCCTTTACACGCCCGTTGAGGACCGCGGCCGTCTGAGCTACATTCACCGCTTTCGAAAATAAGGCTATATATTATACTAGGTAGCCAATAAAATGCACATTTCCTCCTTCGCATTTTCAATCGGATTTGGAATGAGTACCATTCCCAGGAATTGGTGAAGCCATTATCATATCAATTCTAAAGAACGGAAGGATAGAGGTATTCCATCAAGCTATCGCTAATCTCGTTCACTGGATGACTGCAAGATTTTGGAGTGAATGGTAAATGCACCCCTGCTCTGGCTCCTGTTACAAAGAAAGTTTTGCTGATCTGGAACTGGTTTACACCTATCCAATGCGTTGTTAAGACACCGGTCAACCATGGACCACCTAGTCATCCTATCCCGTCGAAATAAGTTGGCCCATGTCCTGACGAGAGGGTGCAGAGAAGGCTCTCATATGTTCCTTTCTCCATCTTTCCTCAATGATTTTCATTTCATATCACATTCTTTTCTTCCTCACGGGTCTTCTCAATGCTGAGCGCCCATCCACGTTTGCCGTGCATGGCGTCCCAAGTCGAAGGCAATGAGTGACCTGGGGGTTGCGGGGTCTGTGTATGCGTTCGATTGTTCCCTTGACGCTGATTTTTTGTGGGGAGACCCGTTCTAGACACGTTCGCTGTGCGAACACAGGTTCGCCTTTGTGACTGGGAGGTCTGCACCAGAGCCTTGCAACTCCATCAAAACGGACAAATCTCGAGGGTGCTACTCTAGCAGGCGCTAGTGTCGCCAGGTATAGTTGATGGTTAGGCTCGCCAACTTCCGCACATAAACTAAAATTGACCAATTTGTTAGAAATAAATGTTTTCTTATATATTCAATTATTCATAATATATCCATATAAGAAACCCCTAAAGAAAGCGCGAACATGGGCGCTATCTTTTGTAGCATTATGGGCCTGCTTACGACCCGCGAACTCACGCAGCAGCCACGCACGTTTTCAGTATAATTAGCAGCAGTTCGTGTTAGTTCCTGTAAGAATGTGCTGCAGCAGAGCGCGCCACCGTAATGGTCTCCACCACGTTATATGGGAGTTATAAAGCCCGGGTCTGCACCATGTAAGTCCTAATACTTTCTTTGGCCTCGTGGTCTTCTTGACGGGCGGTCAGAAGCTATAACCCCCCCCCCCCCAATCTATCGGCTCGGACTAGGGCTTGTGAGCGAGGGAATCCACGGCGGGGTAGCGCTATGTCATCCCCTCACTACATACTTGTGAACTCTGGCACCGTAGTGGGTTGGGAGCACGGAAACGAACAACGGTCCCGGATAAGGAGCCAAAACTACCTCCCCCGCTCCGTTCCGCCAGGAAAAGATGTCCAGGAAACACTGTCGATCTGAACATTTGATTTGTCCCAGAGGATGACGAACCGAAAAGGCTGCGTTTCCTATTGGAAGTGCTGAGTAATGGAAAACGTTCAGAAATGTAAGTACTGTCAGTCTGGCGCAAGCCATTGTAGAAGCAGTCGGAAAGTTCCAAGCGGTCGTACGACAGGAATGGAATGATTTTTATTGACGCGCGCACCGATGAGAAAATTCACAAAACGCAAAAATGAAAGCAGATTGCTTCATTCAGCAGACTTCAGATAGCAGACTTCAAGATATTGATAAGCCACATGGACTGGCGTCTGAGAGTGACTAAGATCTTTTCGTCTTCGAGTCAGGCGACGCAGGTGTATTGTGATAAAAAAGGAAGAAGTAGGTTAAAGCGATTCCTTATTTCGACCCTGACCCTTAACTTTGACCGTCTCTCTCGTAAAGGATCAGTAGTTTCCACAACCGCATGCAACAGTATGTGCCAAACCCTTTGCGCTGTTTCGGGTGTCATAGATTTGGGCATACCCCAACAATGATGTACGTCGTAGAACCCAGTGTGCGGATAGTGCGGTACATACAACCACGACCCACGACCCTGCACATCATCATCGCAGTGTCAACTGTGAAAAGTCTCATCAGACAACACCGAGTACCTACTTTTCTCCGGGTACGAGGTTCAGAAAATCAGGGTCACCGGAGACGACGAGAGTTCCGACGAGAGTTCCCTTCCCTGAGGCCAAACATCGTCACCCGGTTAGAAATCCAGTACACCTGACACGATCTTCTCCAGTGCTCTGAAGACGAAGTCCACAGGAAGTAACAGCAGGTTGCCTGACACAACGTGCTTCCCCTTAGTAGCGCACTTCAGTTGATACGTGTCGCCTATAGACCCTCCTGACGATACGTCGTGCATCGAAGGTGAAAATGTGACAACACCTAAGTACACAAAATCTAGCAACAAACTTCACCAGCCGCCGATCACTTCTACGGAGCCCTCTATCGTAATCTGCTAGTCGGGTATCGCTTGTAAACAAGAAATCGTCATCGACGTCTTGTCCACTTTCTTCTATTGCCGAGACTTACATTGAACGGACCGCCAGCCTCCGTAGATTTTGGTCACGTGCGGCAAAAAATTGGTAAATCCTCCCGACACAGGCGACAATCTCCACCAGCAGTTAGGGTGACTGCTGTTGACGAGGAGCACCACAAGAGTTCCTCTACAACCTCTCAGAAGGTGGAGAAAGGAAAAAGATGCCAAAGAAATGATTGCCCATCATTGCTATCTCCCTGTTCCCGTGTATATTAAGAACTATTAAAATTGATAATTTCTCGCCGTAGACAATCTAGAGTCTTTCAAGAATCTCTTCTTTACCATCATCCCCTCTATCTTCGCGGTTTTAGCACCTATCAGTTCCATCGAGGTGACGGACTTCGTTCACACGGTTGTGTCGCGTTACTTATCCGTGACCCTGTTCTCTGATCGCTCGATGTGACCTTCAAACCGTGTGCGTTCGGATACACTGCCCATCTTTTTCGCTAACTCAATTAACGGTGATCAATGTATTCATTCCACCGGGCCAAGAAGAACTTTGAATTGTTTTCCCAGTGGCCCTACCCTTATTGTGGAGGACTTTAACCCTCACAATCTCGCCTGGGATGGTCCAAGGACCTGCTCGAAAGGTAGTGTACTTTATAGTATTATTCACGAATACTGGCGAAACCACGTATTTTCCGTGACTTCAAACACGTTCTCGGCTGTAGATCTGGCTCTCTGCAGTTCATCTCTCTACAATCTTGGTTTGGACTGTCCTTTACGTCCTACATGACATTTTGATATTCTCGATCTAAGCGAGTGGGAAACGATCGAGAAAAATGCGGATATCGCAAAACCTCCTAAACGATATTGATGTTTGGTTGTCCATTTTACTGATGCTGTTATTCATACGGCCTCTATTACCACCCCGAGGGCGTCGGGTGGCTCACAACTCCCGTGCCATGGTGGAATGTCGACTGTGACACCGCAGTGTATGATCGGAAGCGGGCACTGGCACAGCCTAGGTTCCTAGCCATGGTTAATCTATTAAATTATCAAATATCCCGCGCCAGAGCTAGAATGGCCAAACGGGAAAGTAAGTTTGCGTCCTGGAGAGCCTATATTTCATGACTTTCACGACGCCCCCTTAAGTAGTGTAGCGATAGGTTCGACAGATCGGGTGACGACTTGCTCCACGGGCTGTCTCAGGGCTTGTGGTCTCTTCACCTCATCAGAAGTCATAGTTGAAGAAATTACCACTCATTTCGAACAAGTTTTCAGTTCCGTACACTGCCCTCCTTGGATTTCTCGAGTCGCGTGGAGGAGGTTTAGAATGCTCCTTTCGCCATGAATGAATTTTCCTCTGCTCTTGCTTGCACGAAAAATCTGCTCCAAAAACACTCGTTCTTTTCTCCGCATATTTCAAACAGATTTTAGTTGAACATGCCGCACCTAGTTTTGGTGTAAGGCCGTTGTTATTCCAATTCATAAAGAAAGAAAGGTCAGAGCAATCCCTCCAAGTTACCGCCCAATCTCGCCTATAAGCTGTGTACGCAGGCTTTTAGAGCGAATGGTAAAGACACGTCTGGTTTGACTCCTGGAAAAAAGAAATCTATTCACACCTAATCAATGTGGTTTCAGGAGGCATGGACCACTTAGTCTATCTTTCTGCACAGATCTCCACTTTTTTCATGCTAAGACACCTAGTAGCAAGTTTTGTCGATATAGAGAAAGCGTATGACATCATCTGGCGGTACGGCATTCTTGGGGCCTTAGCGGACGGCACCATTTGCTTCTAGAAAAAATTCTTTCCTCAAGGTCTCCACATTCGCATTGATGACCAGTTATCCTCCAGTCACCAGTTAGAAAACTGTTTCCAATTTGAAAGCATCGCTCTTCGATGACGACTTGGCGATTTTTTTTTTCCTCCAAGAGAATGTAATGGTACAGTGCTAACACTGTCGACCAAGCCATACGACAGGCAGTGACAACTTCTAGCACTATGCGTGACATTGCTATACCTAGCGCACATCCACCACAGAAAGGCCATTCTAGGGATCACAATGCCCATGAGAATCTCTGGCAAATGGTAGTACATATTACAATTTGCATCTCACCTCTTCTGGCATCAGGGGTGTATGACATCCCATGCTGATGCAGTTAGATTTATGGGCGAGACGGAATGGAAAATCGCATTAGAAATAATGCGGAAAAGTTTGCACTAGTTTTGTTGGGTCCCTGCTCAAATGGCAAGAACTGGAAAAGTAATGGCTGACCAGGCAGAAAATTTGGTTATGAGGAATCCAGAGCTAGACATTCTTAGAGTGGAACAGTTTTGAATCGTTGGAAGACATTCTTAAGGCATGCCAGAGAAGCAGAACTCTGATTTTAAGCCCACGAGAATTAGACTATAAACCCATGGGCATCATCTTGGGATCCTAGGTGCAAGGAGCCAAATTCTTTAACACCTTCGTATACCTTGAAACACTCTCGTGCACTGTGGTATGTAAAGAGAGTGCATCACTGGGTTCCATGTCTAGGAGAAATGCTTGGTAATGACGAATCCTATTTATCTTGTCAGCGTCCTATGGAAAATGTGTATCCTGATGTGAGAGAGCAGGGTAATGCCAATTTAGATTGATTTTTACTTTCCAAATTTGTCAGTGTTCTTTATTGCCAAATATTTCTTCCTACTACTATACACATGTGTTAAACATCATTGGTAGGATGTTGAAGCGCCCTTAAATCAGAATCGTCTATTTCAATCCAATGTTAAATTTTATTTCAATGATTTTGTTTTTGTTTTCAGGGTGTATTGTCTTCTTGGTGATGGTGAAAGTGCAGAAGGTTCTGTTTGGGAAGCCTTAAATTTTTCAAGCCATTATTGTTTGGATAACCTTTGCGTGATTTTTGACATCAATAGACTAGGTCAGTCTGAACCAACTGCACTGCAGCACAATATGGAAGTGTACCGACGTCGTGTAGAAGCTTTTGGACTCAACGCAATTGTTGTTGATGGACACGATGTGGATGAACTTTGCAAGGTAGTGATGGTTACAGTGTATTTTGATCAATTAGCCAATAATGAAATTAGAAAAATTAAACATTTATTTAAATTTTAATTTTAATTTAAAAAATTAAATATTGTAAATATGTGCAATTAAACTAAATATACACAAAACAATATTGCTGTAAATATTTACAGTTCACAATTTGGGAGGAAAAACAAAATGAAGATTTTAGTACAGTGTAATTTTTCAGTGGTATACTACCTATCATTGATATTTTATGTAAAGTAACTACACTAGTATGTGTAAAAGCAAAAAGTAAATGGAAATAGGGTGTAAATATCTTCGTTCTGAAAAAAATACTCTCTGAAAATTGAAAGTACTTAATTATTTGTAAAGCGTTAATTTCATTTTTAGTTAAGGGTTTACTAATTATTTGTAATTGTTAGAATTCTTAAACCACTCTTCTACCTTTGTAAAATATTCTTGTTGGTAATATTCTCTCTTGGTCCTGTTTGTAACATTATCTCTTAACACCAGCAGTACTAATTTCAGTGATTTCTCTTCCTACTACCCACCTGGATCTCTTCAGGTTTGTTCATGAAGCTTCAGTTCCGCAGATCCTAGCCATTTACTGACAATGACTTCATTGCATATTCACAAATCTTTTATAAATTCCATTACGGTGTCTGGCACAGTCTGCTAAGCTTAGAAAAATGTTAACTATATTAGCATGTGCATAACTCTTATTACGGCTAAAAGAACGTCGGGAAACCGAAAAGACAAGTTGACTACGAATTTGTTCTTGGGAGATTGCCACGAGACTCGCTGTTGGTAAACACCTGAGAAAAATTTCGGGCCCGCACCTGGGATGGGAGTAGTACAGTGGGATGAGCTGCGGTACCGAGTTCAACCTCGATATGTGACGTGTGTCGTAATAGCTTGCACTCACCCAGAGGTCATCTCTTTGGGGTGACCATTTTGGGTTCGTAGCCGTGTTACATTTGTCGTTTCACCATTATCAACTGCTGCTCATCATTCACATTTGTAAGACAAGTGTAGAAACAAGTGTCCAAAGAGCATTCATTAGCTCTTGGACCAGCCAAATTTCGCTAAGGCCAACTAGCGGAGAAAGAAGGTATTTCTTGGGCGACGAAACAGGAGTTTTGAATTTAGCTCAGAGGTTTCATTTAGGCTTGATCTTTTACATGCAATAAATCCACTATTATGGGAGAGACGGTTTTACTTCCCCTCGAAGGAAGGCGTACGAAGGATTTTTTCGTCCTAGAAAATCAGCCTTCGACCGGGTTTGAACACACGAAAGTGGGTATAACAGCCCGATACTTTAACTGTTACACCATCGCTGCCGCTGGTGTGAAATTTGGAATAATATCAAAAGATATTTCAGGTCTACCATCATCAATGGATGCAGCATTCAGATATATGAATAGTCGAATTTATTTTCTTATAGAAAAGAAAGTCCTCTTAACTACGGCTTTTATCCTGGAATCTTAATGGATTTTTCTCCCGACGAGAGGAACTAAAACTTGTTCCGTTATACGCCTTCAACATTTTTTTTTACAGAAAATTCATCTTGTTCCACCATGCACCCTATCCTTCCACAAGTTTTTACCCCATAGAGGGTTGATATCGTTGATTGCCTCTGTGCTCATGGCGGAGTTCATTCTTTGGTTCACGGCCACTGCTCGATGTTTTCTGCAGGTGTTCCTATTCAGAACTACCTTCAATATGTGTGGGCGCGTGTCCCCCCCATCCCTCACACTAACTACAGTTAGTGTAGTATCTCTCTCCCAGGACAAACTGTGCCAGTCGGACTTCCTAGACCTTTGTTGATGTAAATGCTATCATTGTGGTTCTTACCATACTTGTCCAAGGGTCGCAGTTTTGGAATGTCATCGACACCGCTAATCTGGTGAAGCAACGAATTCGAGCACAGCTATTAACGTAGCCCTTCACTCGCTCCCACTATGCAGTGCTCTACATTAGCAGATCTGTATGGAACGCGACACAACCGTGTGAACGAAGTCCCCCCCCCTCCCTTCAATGGATCGTGCAATGTTCTGACTGGCCAACATTAGCTTTGAATGTCGACCTGTCAGAGGGTCCCTTCGCCGATGTAGATGAAATGGCTGCACATTTCAATAACACTATACTCTTTGCTGCTTCTTTTGCAAAACCGAAATCAACCGGTAAAACCCGACACCCCCTTGTCTCGTGGTGGATTGAACTCGATTGATGCCTTATTTTACGTGGCAAGACTCGGGCCATCGGGGCCGCTTTTCCGTGTTACCACGCAAATTTCAGTACGCCCCTTTAAACCACTAGCAGAGAAAGGTGGTATCTTGGGCGACGACTCTGAACTGCTCGTAAAAGAGCACTGGCACGACTCGAGCATTATCTAACTGTGCCTAAGCTCGTGAAATATAAAACGTGCAGGGCGAAGGTGAGAAGTATTTTAGTGAGTAAAATACATCGTGCAGATCATACGTCTCGTCTCTCAATTGCCATACGCCATCACGTATGGTGTGGAGAAATTGCCAGATAAAAGGACACTTCACCAGATACGATGCCAGGTCTGCTAGAAATAGAGATGTATCACTTCATAAGATGTGATTGTAGAGAAACGCGCCGCGCACAATGAACATATGGCGAGTTCGGCGAACTACTTTCGTGACTTTCTTTTGGTTCAAGACAGAATGGAAAATCATCCGTTAGAATGTTCTTGCAGAGCAACTGCCGATTACAACACGCCTTTCTCCAAGTCGGAATTGCTCTCGCGTTGGCGAAAAGAACTGACCCTGGTCCTGATAGAATACACAACCAAATGCTACAGTATCTTCCTGATGTGGTGATGCAATTTTTCCTCCGCCTTTATAAAACACATCTGGGAACAGCGCACCATTCCTGCTCTATGGCAAGAAGCCATCCTGGCTGTAAAGAAAGGAAAGGATCGGTCGTTGCCATCGAGCTGCCGTTGTCTTTCTGTTACCAGCTGCATTTACAAAGTGCTGGAACGGATAGTAAACCAGCGTTTGGTCTGCACTTAAGAGTGCAGAAATCTTTTCACTCCAGTGCAGATTCAGGAAAAACCGGTCAACCCTGGGCAATGTCGTTGTGAGACGCCTTTTGGCTGTAAAATTTGATACAGAAGGTCCTACGATGCCACTTGGATGTACGACACTTGCACTCGTGAGGATTGAGGTGCAAGCTCCCCCTGTTTCTCCAAACTTTCCTATCAAATAGATCTTTCAGAGTTCGCTTCCCTGACACAGTCTAGTAGTCACTCTTGAAACTTATACGTTTTTGTAAATCAGTTCCATTCGCTGGTTATTTCGTTCAGCAAAAATATCGATGACTTGTTCTCTAAAGCTGTCTTCTCTGGAAAGTTCATTTAGCAGAGATGTCTCTATAGCCAGCATGCTTAAATTACTCAGCCTGATATTTCTCATTGAATTTATCAGGAATGTCTTCAGTCTCTTTAACATACTCCTTTCACATGATGCTGTAGATACAAGGAGAGTTAAAATAAGTTGTATCAACCGAACTGTCTCTTAATAAACTTTTTCTAGGCAGTTGTCCCAAAAATACTTCAGCAATAATTCTGCAGACATTTGTTTTGCATTATTCATTCACATTGACATCTAACGACTCGTCAGCTTGAATTGATATGAATTCAACTCCTTGCATATTGTTTTATTCATCAGTAACGATACATACTATTAATGCAATCTGAATATCATTTGAAGTTACTCAGAATCTCGAAATGTATTCTTGATGGTCTCGTACAAACAGCTCTCCCTAAGCAAGCATATCTAGCATTTCCAAATATCCCCTTCCTGCGAAAAGAGTTCTTGCTTTTCTAGAAAACATAGCTTGAATCAATCTACCTAGATATCGTCAACTACGGCTCACCATTTCATTAGGTTTGAGTCTTGATAATGGAGACGCCTCCGATAATGTGTGCTCAATCCTAAATTTCCCCAGAAGGTGGTAACGTTCCAAATAAGAATGATGTGTCTCTTTGAAATTTAATCCTTCCACGCTTGTCTATGGTCATTTTTGATCCAAACAATGCCAGAATCAGACCACTCTTTGTCACCTCCAACAAGGCAAACGTAACTATACATTTTATATGCAGTGACACTTGCAGTTAACCACTCATATTGTTCATGTCATTGGGAATGAAATGTTCGTGTTTGATGTCAATCATTTTGCACCACATTTATAGTGTGTGGCGTAGGTCTTTTTATCTTTTGCGGCACCTTTCTCTTCATATTCTCGATATTGTAAAATGCAATATGTCGAGAACGGAGTGTAAAATACAAAAATTATATACAGTTACTTTCTTCAAGAAGATTTATCCAATGTGTTCACAATTCAATACACTATCTAAGAATTGCTAAATATATCACTGATAAAGCACAAGAAAGTTCCGAACACCACAAGAGATTCATATTGAAATACGCTTGCAGACTGCAAAAGACTGTACGACTTCACTGGACACTGCTTATAATATGCAACTAAGAGCTTCATCGGGCCACCACAACGTTGATGAACGTCAACTCACTTTCCACCTTTCTAGCCAAGGTTCCCTGCATCCAACCCCATCTTGAATTAACAAAGCCTGCACAGCTGTATCTTGACATCATCACAAATGTGAAGCGCCTCTGCAAGCAAGCAATTCGATCTTCCTGGTTATATACAAAGGACTTAAACAGCAGAAGCTATTGCCCACGAATATTTTAAAAAATGGAAATTGAATAAAACGCTCCTCATTATGTGTATATTTAACAAAACGTGCATTTTATGACACACGTAAATGACACAATCGTATCGAATGCTTTAATCTATATTCAATCGTGTACTTGAAATTTCTACTTCTTTGACAGTTCAGTGTAAAATTGCCATTCCTTTGCGTCTTTACTCTTCATGGTAAGGGATTATTAATGCTGTTTTTATAAATTTCTTTAACCAAAATTTGGCAAACAAATAATTTAGCCAATAAATGTTATAACTAGGAAGAGAATATTTGTGCCCAAAAAAATCTTTAAATATGCAAATAAAAATAACAATATTTAATTTAATAATAAGTCTGTCTTGATCAAATTCAGGAGAAACTTTCTTGAAATGAGAAGATACATTTTGTTCAAACAAAAATAATCTAATTTACATTTTAGGATAAATAATTGAAATAAATATTCACCTTTATGTATCTTGTCTGGTTTAAAAAAATACATCAAGAAATATCCTACATTTGCACAAGTATTTTATCATCTGCAGAAGAAAAAACGTACAGCGATAAGCTCTTTCTGGTCAATGAACGCTCGCAAATAAATACAATGTATGAAATGATATAGAGATAAATCTCTTATTTTAATGCAGTATGCAAAATATGTGCTTATAATTACATTAATTTGCATCGACTGGAAAAATCGGCCAATTACGATCTCTCCCTCTCCCACTTTTTCTCTCTCCCCCTCTCCCCTTTCGAGGTTAAGATAACATGCTTGTGTAGTGTTGTGTCTGCAATCCAAAAAGTAAATAAAAATCATGATAACAGTATAATCATGCATATTTTTTGAGGAAAGTTAAATATTTTCATTGCATGAACTTTGCTTGTTTCAGGCTTTTCATGAAGCTGCTAATACAAAAGGTAAACCAACTGCTATCCTGGCCAAAACTTTCAAAGGAAAGGGTTTTCCAGGTGTTGAGGATCTGGAAGGCTTTCATGGAACACCTTTAGGGGGAAAATCAGATCAAATTGTGAAGGTAAGATCTGAATTACCATTGAAAATAATTGTATTCCATGTTCAAACTTCAAATATAAACTTTAAGCATATGAAAATTTTTAAAAACTACTTGCATTTCTTCATCATGGATTTTATTCTTATATGTATCTTTTAATTTTCTAGCACATAAATTCACTTATTAAAAACAATGGTGATTTACAATTGCACCCACAAAAACCTTTAAAAGATGATGCTCCTGTTGTTGACATTTCTAATATAAAACTGTCAACCCCACCTGCGTATACAGTTGGAGAAAAAATAGCTACAAGAGTTGCCTATGGAAGTGCCATTACTAAAATTGCTACAAACAATTCACGTGTTATTGCGTTAGATGGCGATACGAAGAATTCCACTTATTCTGAGAAACTCAAGAAGGTGGGTTATTTTTATACAAGTTGATAATGATTCATAAAATTAATAATAAATTATCCATAAGCTTATTAATTATTTACAGAAATATCAGTTGTATGTATCAGATATTGAACTTCTTAATTTTTAGGCATTCCCAGAACGCTACATCGAGTGTTTCATAGCTGAACAAAATCTTGTTGGTGTTGCGATTGGTGCTGCATGTAGGGATCGTACTGTTGCATTTGTGTCAACATTTGCAACATTCTTCACCAGGGCTTTTGATCAGGTAAAATTACACAAAATTAAGTATAATCAAATGGCAGGGTGTTAAAGAAGCATAAAATATGCTAAGAAATCTTTTAGACAAAAAAAGTGGGTGGTACGCCGGATTTTTTGTGTTAAGTTATGTATACTATTCTAAATTAAGTTGCTGTGAATATAAAAATGTTTTTTGCATTTCATCAAACAAAAACTGAACAGCCAGTACCATAGAACCACATACAAAAGCACACTGAAATTATCACTAGTCATCACCTCTTTCCATTGTCAGCATCTGAATGCCAAAGTCAGTGGTGAGAATAAATGAGATCGAGGTTTCTGTTGGAAATTACTCCATTGGACCATTACCAGGCATTCATAGTTTTGGGTTGAAAATTCGCAGTTTTATGGCAAATGATTTTAAAAAATCTTTGATGGAAACTGATTTCATTAAGGAAAAAATCTGACTACAATATTTTATATGTATGAAAATGCTGAGTAAAATTGAAATTTTGCAATTTCGAAAAATCAGGGATTTTAACGAAACGTCTGCACCATTCTCTCGAAAATCCTTCACATTATCAAACAACAAAAGTTAATCAAAAGATTTGGTGCAATTTTTCAAACTTTTCCTCGGGCTTATGTGAAGTACCCACATAACTTGAAGTATCAGGTGCTGCAACATCAGCCAGATCGATGGAGGAATATAAATGTTTGTGAAAATCTTGCTTACGATTTGACCATTAGTGTTGTTCAGACGGGTAGACATTTTGCCATAAGTATATTTTTCGGTATCAAGGACATGGATTCTGACTCCACATGTTGGGGGAAGTAATTTACTATGTACAGGGACTATATTAATCCACTTTTTCATTACAAGAGGCAATAAGAGTTTTTCTGCCCAAAATTCGCGATCACATCACCATTCTCCACTATCACATTAATTACTCAACTGCTGAAGCAGTAGCGAGAAAGTAAAATACTGTCCATACATTGTGTTCTCTGCATACCAAAGTGGCATTGATAGGGTTACTTGGTATTCGACAAAAATAACTATTTAATTGGGAAATGATTTACTGAAGAAGAAATTGTATTCGGTTGGCTAAAATATTCAATTTGAAAAGAAAATTTTCATATTATTGCACATTCAAACTGCATGTTAACATAATTCTCAGTAGAGCTAGAGTTCTACTAAAATGATCAAATATCATTTTGATATTAAATGCAAAATTACACAGTTGGTGTAAGAAGTAACTTGACTTTCTATCGAAAGATGACTGTGCTTTGTTGAAGAAAAACTCTTAAATTTTGAACGAAAAAGAGCTCCAGAAATTACAGCAAAATCAAATTAGTCAGAGTCTTCATCTTTGTGAAACTAGTGTTTCTACAACAGCACATTCTTCCTTGCATTATTTCCAATTTTTGCAATTTTCCAAAATTGAGAGTTCAACAAAAATGAGACACAATTCTTTATGCATCCATTATGGTCATTCTTTTAAGCATCCCTTGTTTTCTCCATGGAAAAAAAAAGGCAAAATAAGGTGAGAAGTGCCCCAAACCAAATCGATAATGGTGATACTCTGATTATATTTTAAAAAATTCTGTAGATTCCCATAAAATCAGCCTTTTACACCAATCTGTTGCAGATACAATGAAAAGTGTGGTTTTCACATTTTATTTTTTACTCATTATTTTTTTATATTATTATTATTATATTTGCTTCTTTTTTTTCTTACAGATAAGAATGGGTGCAATTTCTCAAACAAATGTCAATTTTGTTGGTTCCCATTGTGGTGTAAGCATTGGAGAAGATGGTCCTAGCCAAATGGGATTAGAGGATATTGCTATGTTCCGTACTATTCCAGGTTTGTATAATATATTAATATATCAATAAACAAGATCCTTAAAGACCAAGTGGAGTTACCTTTTTCGTCTTTTTAAAAATTAGGATGACAATCATGTTCAGAAAGTTGTATTTCATTAATAATAAAAATGTAGTTGCAAGTTTCGTAGAAACATTGTAGATAAAAACACTGGTTTATGCTGTTTGCATAAGAGCCATCCAACTTGACAGGCAAAGCAATGTATTTGGGAGTTTCACAATTTTACCTGGATTTCTTTTTCAATTCGCTGTAAATATGCAATCTATATCAAGATTGAATCATTCACAATTCTTTTTAAAGAAACTTATTGAGTATATGCCATTTTGCAAGTTGTACTTAAAGTTGTGATCTGAAAAGGTTGCCCTATTTTTTTTGCTTCTATACCTCAGAAAGAAAAGGGTGTATTACAAAAGAGGAAGACCTTTTGCCTCTTGTCCCACCTCTTCATCCCCACTATTTGTGCTTTCTTTTGACGTTGAAGACATTGGGCCACTGAATGGAAATATTGGTGTTGATGACTGATTAGTAACAAATTATGGAACTTGTGGAAATGGTCCGAGATTTTATTTTTCAATTTGTTTGTGATTGGATATGTTTTTAATTGCTCCCGAAACTTGATCTTTTAAACATGAAATGAAAATTTTGACTTACTGTATTCTCAACTTTCGATTGTTTGTCCATTGCATTAGGATTTTAATAAAAATTTACCTTTATATTATGGATTTGTATACATAGAAAATATATAACTAGTGTTAAATGGATTTTATATTTTCTTGTAAATCATATCTATTACTTTTTCTTATCTTTAGGTCCTTTACCAAGTTTATAATTGGACAAAATTTCGAAATCACGGTACTGAATAGAAATGACAATGTTGGTGATAAATAACAACAATTATCTGTGATATAATTGTAAGTGATGTAATTCTATTTAGGCCCTTTTACGAAATAACTGAACACAATCGGTATTGTGAAGGAACTAAAACAACCTTACTAAACACACGTATGTTATAAAACTTTTGGATTTTCTATAACAACACTAATGAAACATTAAAAATATCTCTGAACAAGAAAATGAGAGTTACAGAAATTGGGCTTTACAGGACTTAAATATTTAAATTCACAAAAACCACCTTTCATCACCAGGTGTGCATTTTCATTTTGCCTCTTTACATTATGTATATATGGAACTGAGAGTGCAACATCATTTAAATGATACTTGTTTAGACAGCCATTCGGAGAGGTGCTGCTGCTGGGAAAGTACTAGTTTAAATGGAGGTGTTCCAGGGTGGCTAGTGAACCTGCAATCCTAGAAAACAAGGGGGAGAAAAGGGAACTTGATGTGGAAACCGGAATTCTTTTCTGTTATTTTCAGAGTTTTTACCAACTTTTAGCTCATTCACACAAGCCATAGTTTTCAATTAAGTGCACCACTCAACTGTGCTTAATGGCAAGACTTAAAATCAAAGAATATTGGAGAAATGTGCTATATATGCTTTAGAACAGTTTAAATTTTTGCATTACCTTAACTCATATTACTCGTCTACAAACTCTGCCATGTGTGTAGGTACATGGGTAGTAGACAGCCCCACAGAGCACATTCAGGCAAGCGACAAATGACGGACGTTAAAGTGCGGCCGTTGTAGCACAGCGGGGCTGCATTGGATGCCCCTGTGCTCTATTCTCCTGTCACAGCCGGCAGGGAACAATTGCTGCACATCTTTCATAAGAATGGTTGAAATTGCATAATGTGAAAGGCCACTTTCACATGATCTTTGATGCAGTGATTTCTTAAGACTCCTTAAAACTCTGCTAACATTCTCTTCTGTCCTCAAAGTTGGTCTTCCTGATCTCTTTGGATTAGCAACACTTCCTGTTAGTAATTTGATATGAGAATTGCAATTTTTAACTGTTTTGCACACAGGGTTTCTTGGATCCCTCGTTGAGTCCTTCACCAACTATGTACTTGTACCTCAGATCCCCGGACCGCGAGACTTAACGAGCTGCTGGTCTTCAGGACTCAACACAGACAGCATTTTTCAACTAAAATAAAAGAATAAATGCGTAAAACAAAACCTGGAGTGCTCTTTCTAACAGTTTTGGTTGGCCCAGAAATGAAAAAATTGTAGCGCATCAGACACCCATATAAAAATGTTGTGAATTTAGCATTTTTGGGTTATTACTTATATATGGTACGGAGTTGCTCTACAGCTGTGTGCTCAGTCTCCATGCCTCTCTATTGGACCATACATCATCTGGCATTTCTCTTTGCCGTCATAGCCTCTTGCACTCCCTTCTTCCATGCAAGCCTGGGTCTTCCTCTCTTCTGTCTTTCTGTCGGCACCCATTTCAGGACTCATTTTGGCCATCTTTCGTCTGTCATTCGCATAACATGACCCTACCAGACGATTTGTTTTTTCTCTGTTTTGTCAAGGATAGATTTCTTTACATCCATTTTTTTTCTTATGTCACCGTTCCTGATTCTGTCACATCTGCTATAACAGCAACTTCTACGCCAGTAGTCCATTTCAAGGGCCAGCAGCTTCCCTTTTGTTCTT